TCTAACATGTACTTGCAATTTTGTATGGTTAAGCCCTAATATTATTGGTTGAGTCATAAACCACAATTAAGCCATTTTGTTGTTCAAAAAGGAGAAAAATAAAATAAAATGTTTGTGTAAAGTACCACCTGAACGCATTGAGTAACTGTACTGTGTTTGTGTAAGAGAGGAAAGTGGACAGGTCCCTGTTAGTCTAAGCTCTATTCATCTAGCTTGTGTCTTTAATGAACCACATCCTCTCTTCTGGCTGTCGCCATTCATTAAGTCCTTCTTTCATCCGCCACCCCCCCCCCCACCCCTAAAGAGGAACCACGCTCTCCAAAGAATATGGGAGAACACAAACACAGATGGGAGAGCACAAACACAAAACCCTATTAAAAAATCCTAAATCTGCCACCCAACCACTGGATCCTGACTCCAAAACCTGAATATAAAAGAATGTGGCGATGACCAGCAGAGAGGCACATGAATAGTTGAATGGAGCATCCATTAAGGAGGAAATACACAACCTGTCTGGCTGACAACACAAGAGATTTTCATGCTCAATTAGGGAGCTTCCAATCACTGTGGTTTCATGGTATCAGTGAGAATGCGGTCCTCCGTGAAAAGAAGAGCCTGGGGCCAAAGTCTCAAAATGAACATCATCCGCTTCACCAGACACGCTGCTCAATACATCGTGACAAATACAATCAAAGATGAAATTGTCAGCTTTAGAGCTATGCCACCAGGCAAAGGATACATTCTCAAACCTTGAGCACAATCACTACAATGGTCCCGCAGAGGTGGTCGTTAATTCTGGATTGGAGGAGAGGGGCTGAAATGCTTAACACTAAACTCTCATTACCCTCAGTAAAGTGTCTATTAATGCATGTCTAATGGGCACACCCACAAAAGCTATAATAGCACCTGGCCTGTTCAACACTGCAGCGAATGCTTATCTGAAGTGCAACATGTTCACTCCATCAATTCCACGTAGCCTTTCAGATAAATATTTACACCGACAAAAAAGGCCCAAGGAACAGAGTTAAGAGGAAAATCTGATGCACAACAAATCACTGCCTGCCAACAAAATGTGGTGAGGTGATCCGACACAGATCGTATACCTGCGTACAGAACCCCCGCTTCCATCACGCAAGTCAGATTTGTGCGGCAAAGGAGAGGAGAGGGAAGGGCTGACATACCACGAGGATCATCACTGACAAGGGCTGGCAAAGAGCAGCAAAGGCAAGCCTTAAGAAGCCAAACCCGTGACTTTCCTCTGGCAGATTGAAACTAAGCGGAGCTGAAATTTGAACATGTAAGGCAACCATTTGTGGACATACTTTCTCAATGCTGGAGGCACACGTACACACACACCTTTAAATCTCGAGTTTGGCACACGGAACAATAAGAATATAAATAGTGATGCAAGTCAGACTAGAAACATTCCTGTGGACCTGGCATCACAGTAAACACATTCGAAACTGTGTGCACGGAAACCGAGGCAGATATATCAAACCATCATACCCAGATCCTAATAGCATAGTTTACTCGTTTCAGATGACCTCAACTCACCCAAAAGTGTGCATGGCAGTTGACCACCATGGTGCGCTCGATCAGCTCATCGGGGCACTCCAGAAGGTGATGGCCGGAGACGACGCCAGCGTTGTTGATCAGTATGTCCACCTCTCCCACCTCTCGACGCACCTTCTCAGCTGTAGAATACACACTCTCCCGCTTTCCTACATCACACACATAGGTGTAGACCTGCGGCTGGAAAGGAGGAACCTCCTCTACCCCTCCAACAGGTCCTGCAGGGGGAAAAGAGATGACCAAAGTGATCAATGAAAATGTTCGTTCAGCGGGCCAGTTATTGTAACCGATTCATCTGAATTATTAAGTAAACTTAGATAGACTTAAAGATGTAAAACGATTGGTCTGCACATTAATTAATTATTAAGGGGTTATGATGCATGTTAAGATCTCCTTTTTTTTGCACACTTTTGGAAAATAATGAGGCCACCTGAGCTGAAGGCCTATTTTTAGGTCAGCCTTAATGATCCGAGATTATGTGCAAAGATGTCTGCAAGGCACATCTTGCCATTTGAAAGAGTTCAGTGTATTCATTGCAACACTCTGCCTACGATACTACTGCAACTTCTCTCCTTGAAATATAATGCTTCACTGCCTAAGCAAAACAGAACGTGACCTCGCTGAAACAGACCGTGCGTAAAAACTTGGTGACATCCCAATTGCAGTAAAAGAAAGCAGACTTACCGTCTTTGGTTATGGGAGTGTCCAGTTCGTGGTATATCTGCCGCACCATCTCCGCAGTTTCCTCATTGCTTTGGCTGTTTATGTCCCATAAGACCAGTATCGCTCGTCTCCGGGCGAACTCCTTGGCGAAGAGCCGCCCGAGGCCGCTTCCAGCCCCGGTGATCACGCACACCTGTCCCGCCACGCTCTTCTCCTTTGGCCGCACAACCCACTTAGCCCCGGCAGTTACAATAGCCCAGAGCACCTTCAAAATGACCACGAAGAACTCCGCAATTATTATCATCATCTTGACCGAGCTCTCAAATCAATTCAAACAAGCGTCGGAAGCAGCGCAGGGAACGTTTCCCCCTGCAGGTAGTGGCACACCAACAAACTTGCACCACAATGCAGAAACCCTAACAACGCTAGTGCAATAAAAAAAAGTGCCGAAGAAGGACCGCAACTTGAGAGAGAGTGGAAAGAGAATTCAGGTTGCTGTTAAGTCAGAGTCCAGTTGCGGTGAGTTATTAGCAGCGACCACGAACTGTTCCTCCCACTTCCTCTGCTGCTCCTCCACTCATCTCATCCTCACTCGCATCTCACTCGCTATTTATTCAGTCCTCCCATCAACGCTGGACCCAATAGGACTGAGACTTGAGCGCCTGTCAGAATGAAGCGCCAGGTCCATACATTACACTCAGAGGTGATGTAACCTAAACGATTATACCTAGCACTAATCTGTGGCGATTTTTGTCCCAAAGTAATTAGCGAAGCTTTCATATATTTTTTTAAAGCCACTGCTGTTTGTATCTTTTGGCTTTTATTAGGCCTATAGATATTTTTTATTTTGAAGTTATTTGTTATTCAATAGCTCATTGTTTTAGCCAATAGTTGCACCACAAGCATGTCAGATTAACTATTTTGCTGGTTTTGATTCATTTCGTGAGTTATTTTAATTTTATAATTATTAATGGGATTGAAATAAGGATTTAAGGAACATTCAAAATACTAATACCGAGTTTTTCCACCACGAAATGCCACAGATCCGACCACATGCTGCAAGTCCAGGTCAATGTCCGTCCATACGTGGGAAAAGCAAAACCACCGTTGTTCCTTAAATAATTCCCGGACTTGTTGGCATTTGAGATAGTTTTTTTTTACGCAATACTGAATTAAAATCACAAATCCGTAGTCTCAGACTACCACCTATTTACTGTCAATGATCCATTGGGATTTACTCATTGCGTAAAGTGATGGTGGACCGATAATGAAAGCTACGCACCCACACACGTAACAAGGCTAAGGCAATATTATGCCGCATGTTCCTATGGGCAAATCAATTGCATATATTGTTTTTATTCCAAACATGAATATAATTATGATTATTAGAAAAAAAAACAATAACCCAATGTAAAAAATGGTTTTCACCGGTTTGCAACATTTTTTTAGTTCACGTGCGTTTACGACGTTGTGCAACGTCTTGCAGAAGCCTTTGAGATGCGTTTGCCCCCGTTTGATGGGCGTCTCTGGGAGGGGGGCAAACCACTGGAGGAAGACTTTCAGATCCTAATGTAATACCAAAATGTAAATACTGCATTCAGTGAAAGATCATTCTAAATGTTGCTTCAGAAAAGTCGCCTAAGTATCAACAGCAACATGTAGTCTAGTAGTAAAAGCAAAGTATGCCTTTTCAATGTGAGGTTCCCTTACACAGCAATACATTATTGATGGGAAGGTTAATATTGTGGGTTACTCACAATACTTTTGCTCTCCAAACTATATACACCTATAAGCTCATAAGCTTTATATGCATAGTATGTTATTTTTGCATGTCAATATATGTACATAAGATCTTGCAAAGACAAAAGTATGCTTAGCATTAAAGAAGCCCAACATGGAAAGTAAAGTGTGGCAAAACTGTACTTGGGTCTCACTTTTGAATCATATTTAATGAATTTAATGCATTTGGTCTTGTGGAAAATATGGCCTCTAAAATCAGTCGAAAACACATTTTTTATTTGTATTACCTTTATTTGCATTACACTGCCTGTGTTTTAAAACCTGAAATATATTACCTTTTTTCCAGTGAGATCCAGGATCAAGCAGAAAGGTTCAGCGAATGGAACTTCCCCCTCAGACCATGGATGTAGAAAGAGAAGAGACGCTCTGTGATCCTGGTCTGCAAAATGAAGTGCTTGCGCCCTCTGCCGGGTCAGCAAATGCACAACACAGCCATCACTTATTTCCGGTATTTAACAGCGAACTCAGTGTATATGAATGCCATGAAATATTCAACTGATTTTAGAGCATCTTTGACTGGAGTTGATGCTATGATTTATTCTTGTGAATGAAGAGCCTTGTTGTCCTTCGTTATTTTCCTTGTTATACTTTGTGTCTTCTTGTGGCCTTGCCTATTTTAATTGTATATTGTCATTGATTAATAAAAAGCATATTCTGCCGAGAATATGGTCATGAATGACAGACTGAACATATTAAAGTTATTTTAATGTTAGCATTCTAGTCTGTTGAAGTTTTAATACCACTATCCAAATAAAATAAAAGCAAGTTTACTGAGATATGACACCGTACATTTCCAGGCCATTCAACCAATCACATTACAAGAAAGCACTCTAGCAACTTCATGCCACTTTTTAATATACAAAAGTATACACATTGCTTTAGAAAACGTCTATATGGTAACGCTTGGCTTGCTAAATAAATGTACAAGTCAGGCAGCTGGAAGGACAGCCAGTTGAGGTCCTAAATCCCATAACTCGGACATGCGCAGACGAAACCTCCTCTTTCTCGGTGGACGCAATGGCGGACGCAGAGTGAGTGTTTTGTACCTTGTGAAAATCTAAGCACATCCACTGTTAAAATAGGCGTCTTTGTTCATTTTACGTCCATGATAGATTGTTTAGTTTGTATACACCGTTATCCTAGCTGTATTGTGTAGGATTGTGGTTATTTTTGTTGTTAATGTCACTTAATGGTTTCTTGTGTGTAGCCGTAGTAATATAACATGGCTTTCTCTACCGCCTCCCTGCACTCAATAGGAAGGTAGCTAAAGTGCCATATAGGAGAACAAAGTTAAGAATCAACTGACCTAATATGTCGTTGACTTTCGTGCTGCTGTTCATGCTTCCAAGACACGTCGGCTAGTCTTCGTTGGAGTGAGACAACACACGGGTGTATGGGAGCCGGTAAATGACCAGTTAGCAAGCTAGCATCTACTAGCGACGATGAGTTTTATTTTGACCATTTTAACTAAACCGTATGAGAATTCTCGGTGTTTGTCAATGCGTTTCAAATTGATCTTAACGTTTTGTTTGTCTCCAACAGAAAAAAAGTGCAGGCGGTCCCTGAGAGCCTTTTAAAAAGGCGAAAGGCCTATGCCACCATGAAGGCCATGCGCGTCAAGAAGATGCTGTCTGAGAAAAAGGTACGTGTCCAGCGTGTGTATTAGGCTCTAAAAATTAGTGCTTTTGACTCGTTTATGTCAATGGGTTCATCAATTATCGCCCTGAATGATCATTCGTTATTCCTAATGTTTTCTCAGGACCAAAGTGACTATACATGCTTTATCTTTGGAATGTGGTTGATGATGCTCAACTTTTTTCCCCATCTTATCGACAATGGTGAATACTGACTGAAACTAAGCCAGTTTGGTCTGAAACCACATTCCTTGGTACAGCAGTATTTACACATCTATTCTGAGAGTTGTAAGTTAATTGCTCCAATGTTCTTGGTTTGGATTTAAATCTATGAAGACTAGTTGCATTACATTACAGTCATTTAGCAGATGCTTTTATCCAAATTGACTTAGAATTCAGATTCTATCACATTTCTGTGTGTATTAGGCTCTAAAAATAAGTGCTTTTGACTCTTTTATGTCAATGGGTTCATCAATTATTGCCCTGAATGATCATTTGTTATTCCTAATCTTTTCTCAGGACCGCAAGGTGACCAGGAAGCTCATCTACAAGAGGGCTGAGAAGTACCACAAGGAGTACAGGCAGATGTACAGGCGTGAGGTTCGCCTGGGCCGTACTGCTCGCAAAGTGGGAAACTACTATGTGCCTGCTGAGCCCAAACTGGCCTTTGTTGTCAGGATCAGAGGGTGAGTATTGCCCAGCCAGTGTCTTATCTGTGCACAGACTTGTACCGCATGGCAGACTAAACCTATTCAGTAACATTTACATGGATTAGTAGATTTCCAATAAGACATGATGCTCAAGCTGTTGACGTGGATCAGTTATAGCAGCAGTGTATATTCCTGCTCACATGCTGTGTTGCCTGTTTGCTAATTGTAAATACCTTTTCTATGTTACGACTGTGGCTATGTCTTGCATGCTACTCGTGACTTGCTTCAACCTCTTCTGTATGTAGTGGTATGGGAGCATGTGTAGTAGTTGAGCCTCCTTTTACAAAACGGGTATGGTAAATATTTAGTTGGGAGTGTGAGCTGCTGTTAAGGCATTTTCATTGCCAAAATTTGGTTACTTTAACGATCCATGTAAATGTACTATCTGCAAATACGTTGTCCGTTGCGTGGTTAATGATGAACAATTCTTTCCCCGACTTATCGACTATGATGATACATTCATGCAAAATAAGCCAATTTATTCTGAAACCACAATCGACAGAATTGATGAGAACACTGTACATTGATGCTAAGCTATGTGCTAATCATTGTCCTCCCATTTGTTTTCCAGTATCAATGGTGTCAGCCCCAAGGTCCGCAAAGTTCTGCAGCTGATGCGTCTGCGCCAGATCTTCAACGGTGTGTTCGTCAGACTGAACAAGGCTTCCATCAACATGCTCAGGATTGCTGAGCCTTACATCGCTTGGGGGTAATTAAGGCCGATATCACCGACCTCATAATAGACGCACTCCATTGTGTGCTGAAATCAACACGTACTAGTGACTATACATGCTTTATCTTTGGAATGTGGTTGATGATGCTCAACTTTTTTCCCCATCTTATCGACAATGGTGAATACTGACTGAAACTAAGCCAGTTTGTTCTGAAACCACATTCCTTGGTACAGCAGTGTGCAGTATTTACACATCTTTATTCTGAGAGAGTTGTAAGTTAATTGGTCCAATGCTCTTTGTTTGGATTTAATGTATGAAGACTAGTTGTGTGACTGTCTTGATGGAGACTGTTTTAACAAGAAATATAACTTAGTCACGCCTCAATCATGTGTTTTGTCATCTATAGGGGTTAGTTCCATTTAAAAACACACAATTCAAATGTTTAGGACATAAGACTCCATTTGTTTTGATTAAAAACAATGAAGTGTTCGGATGTTAAACGGGTCAATTCTCTCTAATATTAATCTTATTTTGCTGTAAAAACATCTCAAACTATTTGTTGAACTACATTTTACAAGATATAATTTGGACATATGGTCTAATTATAATTAATCAATCCATGTGGACTATACCTTCTATAACACCCATAAGCAAATCCTCCTGTTTGGCAAACTACATTGCTCAGATCTGATTTGAGCTCATTTCATAACCGTGTATTACCTGTTGGTTCCCCAGATACCCCAACCTGAAGTCTGTGCGTGAGCTCATCTACAAACGTGGACATGGCAGGATGAGGAAACAGCGCATTGCCCTCTCAGACAACGCTCTGGTGGAGAAGGCCCTCGGTATGTAAACTTCATTCTTATGTGCCGGCGACAGGCATGGAGCCAGAGGCATTATGTTTTTGGGTTGCCTGTCTGTTTGCTCCATTATCTTGAATGCAATATCTCAGGAACGTCTAGAGATGGTCTTCAAATTTAGCACGAAGGTCCACCTGGACTCCAGGATGAACTGACTTTTTAGGTGGTTAATGATGCACAATTTTTTCCCCGTCTTATCGACCATGGTGAAAAAACTGAAAACTAAGCCAGTTGTTTCTGAAACCACAAGCCAGTCCAACAGTGACTCGAACATTAGGATGTATTTTACTTCTTGTTGGCAGACTCTTACTCATCAGACTTGTTTAGTTCGACCGAACTTTGTCACAAAGCAAACTGTATGTTGAGCTTTAAGAGTGTCTGACCTTGCAGTATAACTTGGTAGATATCTTAAATGTTTGGATACAATAATCTCCTCCAGTCTGGGTAAAATAAAGTCGTCCAATATACACATGTTCTCAGTTTATACGCTCACTTCACTGATATGTTTTTAAGTGAAAGTTGTTGAGTGTGCCAGAAGCTATGCAGTTCAATTAGTTAAGCCCATTGCGTTTTGATCCTTAGGCAAATATGGCATCATCTGTGTTGAAGACCTCATCCATGAGATTTACACAGTTGGAAAGAACTTCAAGCCCGCCAACAACTTCCTGTGGCCCTTCAAGCTGTCGTCACCCCGCGGCGGTATGAACAAGAAGACCACTCACTTTGTGGAGGGAGGAGATGCTGGCAACAGGGAGGACCAGATCAACAGAATGATCAGGAGGATGAACTAAAGTTATGGTGAGTTGTAGGAATATTGTAGGGAAGTATAAATGGCTTATTAGCTGTGGTTAATGATGCATAATCTTTTTTCCCCATCTTATCGACTATGGTGAAAACCAGCTGAAATTAAGCCAATTATGTCTGAAACCACATCTTAGCCATTCAACTTCAAATGATCTACCACATATGCTTCACTCTGTGCAAGACGAATGACATCCAATAAGGCAATATGGTAATTATTTTATTGCCAAATATATCTTCTAGTCTTTTATTGGAAACGTATCGTCCACCTTTGTCACAAATGTTCCAATAACATACTTTAAAAGGAACATAAAATGAACATTGTGTACTTGTTGACCTTATTTATTGGACATTGTTTTGTATCAAATCCAGAACACTCGACTTTATCCATTTATAACGTGTGCTTTTTGGTCTTTTTCAGGTTTTCAAGGACTCAAACTGTACAATAAAAACTTGGGACAAAAACCTGTCTTATTCTGATTATTGTCATTGTACCAGTTTTCATTCATCAATATGCCATCTCATGCATAGAATAGCTCAATTTTTTTTAAATGTTTACAGTAGTAGTGGTGGTTTTTGTCTTTACCCCAAAGTAATAAGCTCATTATTGATCCCGAGCAGGACGAGTGGACAGTATGAACAAACGTATAACATCAGTATTGCACATAAATAACAAATTGTGGGGTGAAAATTAAAAGATTTAAGGCGGGACATAAAAGGAAAAAAGAACTTTGTTTGAAAACCTGCATACTGGGTAACGGTCTTCAAGAAGCGTGTTTCCATGGAGCCTCTGACTCGGTTGCACTCGGGGCGGTCAGCTGTACCCTAGCATCGCTTCTCGGCTTGCACGAGTTCGCCGTAAAAACGGCCACGTGCCGTATATTTGGTCTGTAACCACGTCTTGTTTTTAGCGTATCGTACGGCAGCTCCACCATGATGACTGTTCAGGTTAATCCATCGCTACCTGCCGCAGAGGCTTTAACATCGGAGGGGAGCTCGTATTACGCGCAGCGCGGCCCTGACGCGGCTAGATATCTAGCGTACAGGAACTATGTGACGGGGGCTGCTGGAGGACAAAATAACACCATGGTGAAACTGCCTGCGATACAACCCTTGAGCAGTAAGTAAGCGTGCGACGTATACCTGCTGAATTCATTCAGATGTTGCCATCAAATTAATGCCGAGCACCGTTCATCTCTGTTGTAGAGCCCAGGGAGTGGAACACCTTGGTTAACGGCTTTATAGTTGGAGGGTAAGATGTGTTAGCATTTTGACATCACCTTGCGTCCTGATGCTACGCGCTCCATTTTCATTATAAGTGTCCTGAATTTGGCTTCTACTTAACAAGCTGTGCAAGCAAATATGTTAGTCTGACACAGAAGTATAAGTAGTTGGACAATGTATAGATATTTTTAGTGGTAATACACTTAATGGCATCCAAGGATAAAAACACAAATGGCACACTGCCATTATTCTGGGTTTGTATTCACCTTTAGAGTCCATGTGTGCTGCTATGTTATTTCTTTAATCTGTGTAGGTCACCTAACTTGGCCAGTGAGGTCAGACTGGAACCGGAGAACAATGACCTGAAGGACATCTGTGGGAGACACTTTCTTTTTGATAAACCGTGTAAGAATCACACAATAGGAATGTTTCCATTTCACTATTACATTTCAGAGTGTATTTATAGGATTATCTTTATTTTTAAATTGATGAATTTACCTAAAATAATTGAATTGGATACACATTGATTTTGAGGCTATTTCCTGGATAGTAACCGGACTGCCAGTAGGTGGAGCTGTCCTCATACATAATGAGCACAGGTCTCATTTCAGTGACTGCATGTATAACGCTGATGCATGAATGCAATCAAAGTTATTGGTGTCTTTGAAAGCAAGACATTTGCCATTTTGCATACATAGACTTTTTGTTTTACCTTTTAGAAAATGATTGTCTTAAGATCAGATGTTAGTTCTGAATATCTACATCCAATTATTTTTAGGTGCAAGTTTAGAAAGGACCAGAACTGTGATTCCTCAGCTGTCAAGAAACTACCATGTGCACAGACCTGGCAACCTGCATCCCTTCAGCCTCTCCAAGGAGCTTTCCCACAGCCATTCAGGGCGGCCTTTCACCCTGGGGTAACCAGTGGATTAATGTCACTCAGCCCTGTAGTTGTAGCTGTACTCTTCAAAGCTTATTTGTATGGGCAGCTGCACAGATCGCAGTAATTACACTTAAGTCACTGTCATATATGAAAAGAAGAACAAAAATATGAACAGAGAAAAAAAGTGGCCAGACAATTAATGTTTAGACACATTATTTGTCTGTCACAAACGGAGGGGTTTAAGCCAATTGCCTGTTTAATATTCTGGCAACATCCGGGCATATGATTATAGCTAAAACTGAATCATTGTTCACTTAGACAATGATGAGGTCATACTAATTTATCAGTTTAGTTTGATCAACAAATTTAAATAATTTGGGAGAACATGCATATCTTCTCCTTTTATATGAAAATAGGTGGGTCTTCTTAAAGATAGATATAAATACAATTGACTCATGCTTACACAGGAAGTAACAAAACCAAATACAAAGGTTATATCCCCAAATCTATATTTGCAGCCCAATGTTTCATATGTTCATAATGCCCTCCATTCTGTCTTCCAGCTACCCTGAAAGATATAAACTGAATACAACTCCAGCCATCCTCTTTCCCTCCACTTTAGTCCTCAATGGCAGAAACACCTTCACAGTGGAAAACTGCAAGCTCAGCAGGTATTTTTGCCCTTGTATAAAGTAAATCACACCAGGCCAATCAATAGTTCTCTTAATTATTTCCCACAACTATACCTCTTTTGCTTTTCCTCTGTTCTGCAGGCCTAAGGTGAAGTACCCTACCACCTACAACCTACCGAACGTTAAAGACCATCCAAAGAGTGAGTTATTTGTGAAGCCAAGAATTTGAGTATCTTCTCATCCATCCTCTGTTATTTGTTGTGGCCTTAACAGTTCTGGTCAGAATGCCCTCTGTCTGTGTAGTAAGGAGAATACAACTTTGTCCGTGACTGAGTGAGTGCGCACCTCTGTGTTTGTCCACACGGCTAATCTTACATTCTGCTGCAGCAAACTGCGCAATATGGGCCCATGGTGGCCAGTTATGGCTGCAAGCTCAAGGACCTTTCCGACCTTTGTACTGCCGCCAACTTACTCCGCACACCACTCTTTAGCCAATCTTGTCATGATTGTATCATGTGTATTCTACGCCGGCTTCAAGCTCTTTGCTTGTATAACGTTACATCGCCGCTTGTTTTTGAATTTGTATCGAGTCTGTTTGAGAACGCTTTACAGCCCTGGCTGTATTCATTCAATCACACAATACAGCAGTGGTCGTTGCAGACTCAGCTGGAGGACATCTGCACTCTGTGTAGTGCACCTTTTATATATTGTTCTTTTTCATAGATCTCATCCTAATATTCTTTCTTCTCTCCCTTCCATTCATCTTTCTCTTTCTTTGTCTCTTTTCCTCTCTCTCTCTCTCTTGCCTCTTGCCACACAGGCCAGTCCTATCCGGACCCAGTGGTCGGAGCCTCTCGCTCTTTCATCCACAGGATAACTGAGCTGTCCTCTTTAGAGGGTGAGGCAGTGAGACAAGAAAAGCTCAAGAAAATGAGGAAACCAAAAAAAACTCCATCCTGACAATCACCGTCTTCCCAGTCACACTGGTCAAGGATCAAAACCTTTGAGTCTGTGCCAACAACATCTGAAGAAAATAAAACATTTGGGGCGCCATGGTCATTTCAGTGGCTTGTTCTGACTGCTTGTTTGTCCTCAGTGGTATTAGTTTTCTGCTTAACATGGCTGCTCTTCACATTTTGGGGTTCCTGACCTGAGTTCCTCTCTATTCCTCTCCAGTAGTATTTACTGTGGTAAATTGCAGCATTTGCTACACACATGGTGATGATGAATATTTTCTATTCTGACTCACAGCTGTTAGTATTTCCCCACTCAACATATGGATAAAAAATATATTTATTTTATCTTTCTAATGGCTTGAAATGGCTGTTAGGTAATACTGCCATATTTCTCTCTGTATCATGCATATGTTGCAGACGCTCTCAAGCTTGGATCTCAATACAACAGTGTTTCACACATTGCAGTTAAGTAATTGGAATATTTATGTATATATCAACTAGTTTACCATTTTTGTGCCTTGTTATCCTGAATTAAATACATTTGTTTTTGTTATTGTTACTCCTTTTGTTTAGAACTTTTTTCCATTTTTTGGTCATGATTTTTGCTCTTTAGCTTCTAGAGAGCTAGTAAGGGTAACTTTCCCTTCTTTTTGGCACATACACTGCATATCGACTAGTGCGGTAATCAGAATGCCTAAACGATTGCGATGAAACATAATCTGCATTCCATATCTACAAAACAGATACAAAATTGTGCCCCCAGATCCCAGAATGTGGTACTTTCCCACATAGTGCATTGTTTTGTTGCTATATGGAGGGCAGCTCATGTCTCTGAATAGTCTTGTTCATTGTATTTGACAAAGACAGCAGTCATAATCTTTTTGTTAAGAGAGAAATGAGGACTTCATTATTATTTGAAGATGTAGCAGCTGCAGTCATCATGCTTGTTTAATATGTAATAATTCAATTAGGACAAAAGATGAACTTGTTATATCATGTCTTCCATGAAAGAATTTGTATCCCTGTTGTCATAGTGTGAATAACTAAAGCAGAAATACAGCAGACGTGATTTAATGTGTGAATTAAAGTCATTAATTTTAGATGATTGACCTGTTGCCATCTGAGTGTGAATGGCAGATGATAGAAAATGTCATGAAAATAAGTCATAGTCTAGCATGTTAAAAAAAATGCAATGAAAATAGTCTTTGTAGTATGTCATTGAATATTAATGAAACAAGTCATAGTATAGTATGTAGAAAAATGAATGAAAAAAATACTATAGCATGTTGAATAATGCCATAAATACAGTCAAATTATAGTATTTAGAAATTAAAAAGTCATAGTGTAATATGTCAAAAGGTTTCATGAAAAAGTCATAGTATGTCATGTTGAATGATGCCATGAAATAAAGAAAAATTTGAGTATTTTGAAATCTTTCATGAAAAAAAGTCATAGTATAGCATGTCAAAGAATTTAATGAAAAAAAGTCAGTGTACCATGTCGAAAATTTTAATAAAAGAAGTCATAGTATAGCATGTTGAATATTTTAATGAAACAAGTCATATTACAATGTGACGATCCTCCTTTCATACACCAGGTGTCCCTGTTGCATGATGTTGTCTTTTGCAGGTGCTGATTGGAGGTTCATCAGCTGGATGAGCCCCACCTGAGCTGGTGTGAATTTGCCCATGAATAATTTCTTCTTTTGGCCACCTGGGAGAGGATATCCTTTCTGCCACCGACATGACAATGTTCTTTTGGGTTCATATTTTGATATTGCTATACACTGCCACGCACACACACATGGACTTCAAGACTGACAACCCTTTGTATTGTTTCATTTTTGTTTGTGGAAATTAAAATGCTTTTCTTAGCAGCAGGCTCGCTGGTCTCCCTGTTTTTGTTGCAATCTCTGAGCCGTGCTGTGACAATAGCATGTCAAAAATGTAAATGAAAAAAGTCATAACATAGCATGTATTATGTTTTTTTGGTGGTAAAAAAAGTCATAGTATAGCATGTCGAAAAAAGTCAAAAACGGTCATAGCATAGCATGTCGA